TGCGAGCGAAAATTGCAGCCGATTCGCATGAAAGAGTAACAAATGACGTTAAATTAATCTCGATACCAATTTAGGCGATTTCCTATTGTTTAAGGAGGCACTGTAGCAATCCGGCCTATAAAATTGGCTTCTTCTGAATTTTTTTCTAAGGAGATCATGATACATATTGGCATGCAGTTTTGGCACGAAGTTTTGTGTATATTTTGAGAATATTTGCAATTTTTTTGAACAAAATTAATGAAAATTGTGGAAATTATATAGCCTTAAGTACAAGCATGTTTTTAAAAAACGGACTCGAATGACGGACGTGATTCTGGACAATCTGGTTATTGGAAACGAAAAAACTAAAAAGCATCGTAATTAGTATGAACATAGCTAGAGCATGAATCAGCCAAACAGCGAAATTTAAAAAAGTTAAAAAATGGCAGAATTTTGAAGTCTATATGTCGATTTTCCTTGTTTTTCATTCTTTGGATGGCGCACAAAAATAGAAAAAGAAGTCAGATTTTGAAATCCTTGGTTCACGCGATGAAGGTACATCAATTGAAGATCTTCACCAAGTTTCAAGTGAATCGGTCAACTCAAACGCGAGATATCCCGTCAGCCAGTGCAGAGTACGAACTCGAATGGTAATTCTTAATACCATCCACCGATAATTCAGCATTGCATAGTGATTGCACGATGCTTACCAATACAAAAATTCAGAAATTCGTTAAACAGTACCTGAATCCATTCCAAATCGACTCTCCATTACTCTACCTCCTCCTAAGTATCTCAAATCACCTTTTCAAAAATCGAAACACTCAGAGAAATTAATTTTAAGACTCACCAATCTTGCAAGTGCCCAGTAGACTTCGCACCAACCAATTCTCTCAAATTCCGTTAAATTCTGTCAGATTCTGAGTTTTCCATATTAGCGGAAACAAAGGCAGGAATTCGCGATGGCGAAAGTAAAGTGGCAGCAACACGGTCTAGCAGTGATTGAGCACAGTGGTTGCGCCGCCATTGTTAACGCAAGGAGTTAGAAGTTCCCGGATTCCTCTTGAGAAGCGTTTGCTTCGCGCAGAGATTCCTGGGAGTTGGAGAATATTTTTGCTTAAAATAACGGCGACTTGGCGAGAAATGGTAGACAGGGAAGCTCGATAGAAGCACCTCGAGGCACGGTCGCGATGGAAAGTCACGGGAGAAGCGGAGGATCGCAGTTAGTTTCGTTCCGAGCATCTTCTTCCCGCAAATTGCTTGTTTAGAAGGGAACTTACGGACGGGATATCGATTCGGCCTGAAATTGCACGGTTTCGAAATGGTTGCTTGATTTAACAAACGTGTACCAATGGCGGGCAACTTTTCGACGAGGGCAACAGTCGTTTTAATCAAAGGATTGGGGAAACTCCAGGGAATGAGCTTGTCGAGGATGCTCTACTCGATAATTTTCGAGGTATATTCGTATTTCCGATGACAAACGATATAACGTAATTACTGGGCACGATGAAACGAGATATTGCAAATAATTATCGAGAAATTTTTTGAATATAAAGTAACAATTAATTATCAGATATAGAACTACCAAATTCGTCGAAATGATTGGTTTCAGAATGTTTGTTCTCGCAGTAATTAGCTCCTTCGTTTACAATATCGTGTGAGACTCGTGGTACGTGTATCGGGTCGAAGACGAAAATCACGGGCGAGAGACGTGAGTTGTAGATAGGGCCGAACGTACTATCCTCACGGCTGATTAACTCCGTTGGTACTTCGATGACGATGACCGATGATCTTTGTCATCGTTTTTGGCCAATAATGGTCACTGTCTGTGATCAAGAAAGTGTCGCAAAGTATGCAAACACGCTGTGCCTTCTTTTCTCAAATGCACAGTATATAGGCAGCATATCGAACGTAGATATTACTGGTGAGCAAAAAGCACCTAAGGTATTTACATTAGTCATACACACACTGTCCCCTTCAAAAAGAAAAGAAAAATTATCGTTAGTCTCTACGAGCTGATCGATCTAGCCTCCACAGTACTAAAGGGTACTGTAACTTTAAATTACGCGGCAAACACTTTACGTCTTTTCTACCCTATGTTCTAAACTGTATGACATGTCCATGACACGCAGTGTCTCGTAATATAAATTCTACGTCATGTTACACGCTGTACATTGCACTTTAAACCAAACTGCACGCAGACCACTCGATGTATCACGCATTACCCGGTGCAGACCGTAGATCAGAGAAACGTAGGAACGTCAGCGGCGCAGGATTATATCTCTGGCCCACGCGCGACGCTTTGAAAGTACTCGTGACGGCAGAAGCAACGATCCCTTAAGAGAAGCTGCAAACATTCCAAGAGCATGTGCGCCAGCGGGGTGGCGTGAAATAGCGAGGATTCAAGTGGTCGGTCCAGTTGCTTTCCTCACGGCGCCGTTCCACGGCTAGAGACTTGAAAAACACGAGCACGAAGAGCTATTCCCAGCGCCTTGATGACCATACAAATGAAGCCTGCCGAGAACACATAGGTAGCTCAACAGGTAGCACTGGAAGTACCTTTCTCCCTGGCGTGTTCCCGCCCTTGCCTCCTTTTATACCCGACGAGCATCCCCTCTGCCCACGCACGCACATTTTCCCCCGAAATTGACACTTTGCAACGCCCTCCGTTTCCGGGGAATACCCTAAAACATTCGCGCTAAACTGACTTCCAATCTTCCTACGATTGAATCGATTTGTCATGAATCTTGAAGGGTTCTGTCCGGATTTGATCCGATAGCCTTGAATAGCTCGCGAAGTTTTAATTTGAGAGTATTATTATAACCAAATATTACCAAATTGCAGCATTATGTAGGAGAATCCTGTCATTAGGGGATTCGAAGACGATTCTGTCAGAAAATCACCGCAGTGGGAACGTCGTGTTTATATATATGTGTACGATCTGTCAGTTGGTCTTTGCCATAACCTAATAGGTCGACATTGCTCTGACACAGCTTTGGCGTTACATATTAGGTTATGGTAAAGACCTATTGACTACCTGTACACATGTACGAACATGGAGCTCCTGCTGTGACGCTTCTGTGGCAGCACTGTCGAATTCCTTAGGGAGAGGATCGTGCTAGGTACGAGAGATCGCAGTTGGGTGCTCCAGTGTTCTTTGACTCTCTTAACAGTCCACGTATACTGTCTTAAATACAAGAAAATAGGTTCAGTATAGTGCAAAGCGATTCGTAAGTCAAGATTAGACCCACGTGCAACTGACCTATCTGCAGTCATTTCGTACCCATTTCAATAAGTACTTAGGAAAACCCTAAGGTCACACCTGGCAATCTTTCACTTCTAATGAACCATCCTCGAATCATGCTGATGAACAATACACGTAACTCCACCTTTGAGCAATAAATACACATCTGCAAACCCAACTAGCTCTGAACTGGAGTGACTAACTGGGGTACAAAGTTGAGAGACTCGTCATTCAACTCTCCTGACGTATATATCGAATTCTATTGCATGTACATAGGATTTATCATCTTAGGATGGGTGTAGCAGTCCTCCTCCGTGGTTGGCTGTTGTCTGTTGGTCCAAGCAAGTGTCCTTATCATCAGTGAGGCTATCTAGCAGTCCTTGCCTTAGACAGGAATACTGTTGCAAGGTTTAGAAACTTTAGAATACATATAAAGAGCGGAAGTTTTACCAAAGACCTGGCAAAAAGGTCCTCGAACCTCCTCAAAGTTGTAAATTCATCTGTTGGGAAGAGTGAGACCGATGATAGTCACATAAGCAACGAAGAACTCAACTCCTCGCGGGAATTGAATTTGATCCTAAGCATTTGCATTTGCTACAAAATTCCATTACGAGCAACTGGATGAGAGCTACGTATATCAGGGAACTCTTGCACTGTCACAGAAGTAACAGATCTGCCAATTCTTTTTTTCCCCTGAAAGAAGCTATGTCTATCCTTTTCGCCAATACCACGAGACCAGGTGTACACCAGGGATTATCGGACGAACACTGACGGCCTGAATATTCATTCGCATTACCGATGGCCGAATAACGGATTTCGACGGACGTGGTCGAACAACCGTGAAACGTGAAGGAAGAGAGAAGCTGCCAGGGTTTTTATTAGTAGCTCGACGAATCGAACGTTCTGCTCGACTTGCACGCGAGACCAGCGTGGAACCCAGCCATCGATCGATCCCCGTTTAATTTGCCCACGCGTCCGATCCTTCCGGCTACATCGGAGGGAAGAACTGCCGGAATTTAATTCGCGTCGACAACGAGCTAATTAGGCTGATCGAGTTGCAGGTGAAAGACACGCGGCGGAATAATGGCTGGTTCCTGGATTGCACGCGTCGTTAAGATCCATGAGCCTTTAATCCAGCGTCCGGGAGAGAGTCTTGGTGAATTGGTCGATAATTCACGACCAGATCTCGAGTGGTTCGTGAGAAGAAATGGCGGCGCAGTCGATATGACGGCCTTTTAAGCGGACAGAGTCGTTGAGCGAATTAAGTGTACCGGGTGACGGGATTTTCGGGAGCGAAACTTTTTTCATTACGCTAACGAGCACCCGATGAAGCCGTGTTCCACGTCTGAGCTTAAGCTATGGGCTCCCAATCCCTTGATCCGTGGTATTCTTCAAAGGGAATCGGGGATTCCCTTCTGCTCACGCAATGCTATCACCGGGATTTCTGCCTGGCCGGATATTAAGTGGCGCGTAAAAGTGTCCTATCAGATTGATTTCTCGCTGCCTTTCTGCGAGCTGACACTGAAGGAACGTTTGCAGGGTACGGTGAAAAAGTGGCGAACAACGTTGATCTCTTTATACGATTTTTACGATTTTCCTTTCTCGACCTTCCACCCTGAAATGGCGAATGAAATGTCTCCTTCTAGAGGATTACGTGCTAGCGTATGACAGAAAATAGAGCAGATTAGAAAGAACGCTAGAGGTAGTCTTGTGCAATCGTGTATCAAATTTACAAGAATCGAGAAGGTAACGGAAAAGTATCGATAATTAGATTGCATTAACGGAAGTCCCCATTGGCGTGACACTTGTGTGGGCTAGATGGCAGAGAGGTGGACCTGATCGAACGGCTCGTCGCGACCTCGTTCTGTCTATCCTGGCCGGATCTCGAGGTCCTGAAGCCATCCCCCGAATTTCCTAAATCGCCTTGGCGACCTTCCTCCTTGGTCGACAGCAGCATGTCCCTGAGCATATCCAGCAGGTCCACTTCATCCTTCTTGCCCAGTTCTTCGATCGCTCGGAGAGCGTTTAGCATATCCCCGCTCGCCGTTGGGAGCTTGTCGTCATAGCCAGCAAACTTGGAGTGTTCTCTCTCTTGGCTATCCTCTTCCTCGTTGTCGGTAATCTGCTCTGCGTTTCCCAACTCTTCGTCTATGACGTACGTGGCCATGGTGTTTGCGCTTCTTAGGGATACTTTGCTGCTATTTTCGCGCTTCAGTTCGCTTTCCTGCTGCTGAACGTTACACTCGGCTTTGTCCGACATCTCTAAATTGCCATCGATATCCTTGTCCTCTGCCTCCTGGTCATCAACGCTGGATGAGAGGGAAGATATGGAGGAGGCAGAAGGCGACGAAGCAACGTCTTTCTTCTCGGGAGAGCTTCCTATTCTGAACGTGGCGCTACCTTGCGGGCCATCCTCTTCCTTCTCGAGATCGGATCGTGCACTGCACTCTCGATGAGGCTGCACCAGGCTCGCTGCCTTGTCTGAGCGCATCGTTATCTCCTCGTCCTCGTCGACTGACGTTTCCCCGCTGCTGGAATCGTCCCGACACTCCGTAATCACTCGCTTCTGCGAGAATACCGTGGTTATCACGGTTTTCTCCTGGCCGATGAACAGACCGAGATCTTCCTTCGCTTGTTGGTCGCGTGAGATGGCCGACTCGACGACCTCCCAGCTACCGTTCTCGAACGGAATCCTGCGAAGGGCGTGCGCCACCTGGTCGATAAGATCGCGGATGTAGGACAGCATCGGGGTATCACCCTCTTCCTCGGTGATCTTCGCGGCTATCTGCAGCTCCTCCAGCGCTTCCACGAACCTGCCTAGTTTCGCTAAGCTCTGGCCTGGGGAACACGATGAAATGGAATTAACTGGAAGAGAAAATGCTCCGGAAGATTTGGATACCGTGGGTAGAATGTAAAAGAAGCTCACACAGGGTGGTACTGATCAGTATAAATGTAAGGATACTTTTGATTGGCGAATATATAAGGAATAATAGATGGTGTTTAATTCCAATGTATTATTTATTACGAGCTAAAAGAGACTTAGGAGTAAAGTACAAACTAAAAAACTAGACTAATGACTGAACTATGATCACACAACTAACACTCGCACATTGATTCTCCTTCAAACTCCGTAAAAAGTCTTAGAACAGCTCTTGCACCCTCATTTAAACCTTGCACTCTGTCTTCTTTCATAGTCGTGTTTCCTTTCTCAATCATGCATTTCCCATAGCCTTGTTCTTGGTGGGTACGTGCTCTAAACACTTAGACGCCTTTCGCTCTTCACTTGTATTCCATAAATATAAATATTCATAAATATCCCATTCATAAGATCCTTGCACACTGTCACTCATCTTTCCACGTGCACTGTAGACATTCTCCTAAACATTCGGTCTAAAGCCTAGGCTGTTGTTTGTTATCCGTCATCAGCTAGCTAGGTCCAAGTGTTCCTTTGCATTCACTCTCGAATCCTAACATTCCCACATAAATTGCGAAGATTGGAAAAGTTCTTTGACTTGCGCGAATAACTTCTACGACAGAGGAAACAGATAATGCGTTCCTGTATACGTCAGGATATGATCGTGGTCTCTTTGTGTACCGAGTACAAAGTGTGTCAAGTCCCCCTTCCTTATCATTGTGGTCAAATTACGATACTAATTGCAACTCGAGTGGAACGAACAGTATCAGGCGCTCCCGTAGGCCAGCGGGTCGGTCCTTCACGGTATCTCTGTCGACATTGCGTGCTTTCGAGTGTAAATCGTACTCGCGTGGAAATTGATTTCAGAGTTCGACTGTAGCCAGCTCTATCACAGGTCTGATGAACTAAACAGGTTGTAGACCATCGAACGGACAAATTGTAACACGATAGACTATAGACCGAGCCAATCATAGACTGTCAGACCTCTAACTGAGCTAACTTGATAATTAATTCCTCCGTGTTCCTTAACCACCTTTGTCCCACGATTCGCGTTAATTCGTCGATGATTTGGAACCTGAGTAACCTAGAAACAAATTCGTTTAGCCGTCCTTACCTAACAGCAAACGTCCATTGAGTATCCACTTCTTGGAATTGCCTTTAGTGGCAGCCTCCACGCATCTGACACCCATTTCGATGGCCTTTTCGTACTTCCCGGTCTCCAGGTAGCATCTTCCAATCTCGTGCTTGATCCACGCCACAGGAATCGGTCCCTTTAAGTCCTTGGCCAGGTGTTCCCATGCCTTGGCCGCCGCGTCCAAGTGTCCAAAGCTCAGATGCACCTTTCCCAGGGTCACCAATGACTGACAGATCTGAACCACGTCCTCGCTGCTCCTCGACAAACGCACCAAACGTGACACGTTGCACACTGCTCGGTCGTGTCTACCTAGGGCCACGTGGATCAGGGACAAATAGTGGTAGGATGCGATTTGATAGCGAGTGGGGTCTTGGAAGCTCGCTGACAGCTCCAATAACTCCTGAGCGATCTTCAAAGCGGTTGACATCTTTCCAGAATCGAAGCACGCTTGAAGATCCTTCAGTAACGTTTCAGCGAGATTGTTTAGTTGTTTGAACATCGACTTGGACCTGCTTAGCTGCGTGCTGGAGATTCGAGGAGACGGCATGATCTTCCAATAGCTCTTGTGGCTGTCAAAGGAGCTAGAACGGATTATTTAACAATGAATTTCTCATCTTCATCTCATATTTGAACGGAGAAACGTGTACTTTTTCAAATTTCTTTTTCAATCCACAGAGGATTGTTTTGTCTGATATCTCGTTTCGTTGAAAGTCTTTCTCTCCCGTTTCTGTCTCTCCTGAATCGTGTTTTTAGGTTAACCCGGAGGACACCGACAAGACGGATCTATTACACGAAACATTGTTCCGATGCGAATCACATAATTGCCCCGATTTGCATCGATACGTTGAATCCGTGCCTCAAAGATCCCGTCCGCGTCCCTATTGACGTCAGTGGAGGATGCAAGTCCTAAGCCACGTTCAAAGCATTACTCCAGCGCTTGGAATACTTTAATCATAGTCTGAAGATGTATCGTGCACGATACAGATCACGGTCTCGTAGAATAGACAGATCTGACAGACTGCAATTTAGGTAGACAATGGTCTTACAGATGACGCGAATATATCTTATAGATAGACTGTGCCCGCATAAATCATGGATACCATACGTCATCCCCTAACAGGCTACGGTCCCGCAGACCAGATGGATCAAAACCTCATTAGCAATAAATTAAACGCGTCAAGAAACTATCGACATCCACGTCTTCTTCGTGTCCCATGACTGTCGCAAATTTATTGTTCCAAAGAGTTCCCTGCGATCGTCGTGCAACCATAAATTTCGAAAGAACGTATGTAGGGATGTTTGATTGACAAATATGGAGAATAAGAGATGTTATTTTATTCTAAAATATATTTATTACGAGCTAAATGAAAGTAGGAGTAAAATATAAACTGAAAGACTGATATCTATCTATGATTACGCAACCGGTCAACACTGTCACGTTGACTCTCGCTGATAACTCTGTAGAGGACTGTCTCATAGGATATTTGACAGAGTCTAGCGAAAGTTTAGGAAAGTTAGGACTTTGAGTTACCTGGCCCATCGAGATTGCACGAGAGGTGCAATTGAGGTAAAGAGCCTAGGTATAAAAATAGACAGAGTGTAAGGTTAAATAGAGGTACAAGGATGTAAACGGATCATTCTAAAAATTGTCAATTGCTAGTCGTAAAAATCAATCTTAAAAGTCAGAACATGAGAGTAAAAGTAAGAAAATTGTCAAAGCGTGAGAGTAAAAAGTCCAGTGAGCTCGTGGTTAGTCGGGGCATAGTTACATAGTTACTATTATATTACATTAACCCTTATCGGTCGTAAGGCACCTTTCACGTGACAACAGTACATTGGTCGCTGCAGTCGTGGATCACGTGGGAGGTGACGAGACGGAAATTTTTCGCATATTTACCGAAATCAGGTACAACTTAGTAAGAATCACGTATACAAAGCTAGCTACCGATAAGGGCTGAGCCGTTACTCCATTGATAAAGCTCATTTCGTTCTGTTAAGCATGACAATATTATTCTAGTCAGTTCCTTCAAGTACAATATACACTAAATATATACCTGAGTATCTCGGTGATCGACGAAGGATCCGGCGACTTCTTCAGCTTCTCGTTCGCCACGATGGCGGCGGTTTCCGGGCATAGGGCGACTGTTAATCGTTCTCCAGAGGTCGGTAAAACCTTTCGCACAGCTTTCGACGGATTATTGCAAGAGCTTATCGTCGCTGCGGTCCTCCTAGCCGCAACGCCGTGACTGTTGTCCTTCGGATACAAGTTCGCTGCTCTGTGGTACAGCACTAATGCCGACTCGTAATCACCGCTGCAAATTGCGATTCGGCATTCGAAATTCGTGCGCTTAGCCGGCGAAATGGACTGGCGATTAATTATGGAATGGACGAGAGCCTGTTTAAACAACTCTAACACCGCGTCAACACAGCGAGCTGCACCCCGCAGCTGGCACGATGCAATAATTTCGGCAACTAATTAACACCTGTGGTACAGATGCAAAGTAACGAAGATCAGAGCGAGTATGAATGATGACGTAGCTAATATTCGAGTAAAGTCCACGTGGAAAATTTGCTTCGAAATCGGTATATAAATCAGCTATGACCTCTGAGTGGCAGCAACGCGACCTCGATGACCTTCCATGACCTTAAGGTGACCGAAGCTCCCAGTGACATGATCTCGAGGATCTTGGATGACGTTGCATGCTAGATGACCTCTTGTGGCCTTCTAGTGATTCTAAGTGTCAGTGATACTTGATATCGATGCTTCGATGACCTCTGTCACCTTCGAGTGACTTTAGGTACCGATTTCACTATCCGGGAGATCAATCTTCGAGTGATTTTTAATAAAACGTTGAAAAATAAAGTTGCATTACGTTGACAAAGACATAGCGTGCTTTAGAATCCGGGAATCTAATTCGATCGTTTGTGGCATCGTGATTGAATGTAACTATCTGTGTGCAAATTCCTGAACCAATTGGTCGTTCGAGTTTTGCCACACATGCTTGTAACTGGTTAACGATCGTATGACAAAGAATCCGAATAACTTCCGTGGCCGTAGTTACGCGGTGGGAATGAACCGATTCCGTGGTTTTCCTGTGGCCGCCATCGATCGTTCGGAATTATGTCCCCTGTATTTCACGGCGCCTCAAAACACCGATCTATCGACCATCATTGAATATAACGACGGTGTTAATGGTTACGATCCCATGGAAACGTTCATTTCGCTGCATAATCCGCGTGAACACACCGGGAACGTGGTCTTCATGAAAATATAGCTTAATATGCGACTCGTAACTCGGCACTCCCATCTTACTTATTCCACGCGAACTAACTTAGTGCGACACCGTCGTCGGTAAATGAAATTCCATCTACGATGAAATTTCCTAAATCGGGAACAATTTTCCACCATAGAAATTGAACGCGTAAATTAAAGTTCGTCGATGTAACATCGAAAGGACAATTGAATTTTAATCCGAAAGTTCAATATCGTATTATTCCTTGTAGTTGCTAAAGGCGGATCGTTCAACATGGCCACGCCCCGCAATTACTTATGCAAAAGTGATTAAGCGATAGGATGTTAGCCGAATAACTGGTGCTGCCATCTCAAAGGAATAAATTTATTTCGCTGATTAAATCATTAAAACCGCCGAGGAACGTTAGCCCCTCGTACTAAAGGTTCGATCGGAACACGATTTAATTGCCGGCGAAACAATTCCAATAATTGCAGCGAACTTTTTGCCCCGATGGCTTTGGTTAGAACCGAGAAAAAGTTCCGATGGTAAAACGCTGATAACGGCATGAACGCAAACATAACCGGTTGCTCCATCTGTTTCTCCGCCCTCTGTTCGCTGTTTTGCCTACAAATTTATTTCTATCTGCGCGCCACTATATCAACGTTTACAAAACAGATCGTACAGGTTATGTAGCTCGGACAGAGATTGTTTTTAAATTGGAAAAAACCTGCTCGACTTATGGAACACGTAGCCGTACGAAAGCTATACAAGATTTCACGCATGAAAAATGAATCTTAGTTTTCAATGGAATCGGACGCGTTTCATTTTCGAGTCTTCGATTTATCGCGTCGAACCGAGCGCCATCTGTTGGCGGGAAATACAAACCGATTACGATCTTTCGCGTGGAATAAATAGAAATCTTGCCTGCGGTGGAGCTGATCCGCTTCGCGATGCAAGGCTTGAGCATACTCTCGATTATTTCTCAAAACCAGCTTCGAATCGGCCTTTTTGTAATCAAGACGAGCACGATTTTCGGCACTTTCCACCACTTTTCTCGTGTCGTTCAAGTCTGTCAAATCGTCCTTCGGGGTTCTGCTCGCGAGGATCTCCATCGATGTAAACTGACGTTGACGTTGGTGGCGCTAGTGTCTCTTCTGAAGTACGACTTAAATATTAGACTCTGAAGCTTGCCGCTAACTTCGCGAAACTTAGAAATTAAGTAGAAGCTATCCTTCTGTAACAGCCTAGTTTAGAATCTATACTGCAAATAATTCTTTTTTCGATAATAATGAACTAGTCACAGAGTATACATATATGCAATTATATTTACAGATCAGACTTTTACAAAGCTTACGCGAATTTATTCCTTTGATCGAATCTGACGTTTACAATGCAGACTGCGGGGGAACCTGGACTATACACTTAACATATCCGTTTAACAGACAACTAGGAACTTGTCCTATTAGCTGGTGCAATTTTCCAGAGACTGCGTGGAAAATCCAGCTTTCGTCAGTCCCTTCTTTCTCAACGGAGACCTGAAGACTAAAGCGTCACACACTGATGAATACGGTGCTATGTTGTGCTCATTCCACTTTCGGAGAACCATTTTCAGAGGATCTGGAAGACCGCCAGGACGTCTAGATTGTGTCTTAAGGAACCGAGAAAAAGTGACCTCGAAACTTAGACGCCACTGATCTCGGAGTTCCAAGAACTTCTACCGAGGTACTCGCAAAATCCAGGGTCATAGAGGACTCTGGAAATCGTCGAGGACAGAGTAGACCCCTTGGAATTTCATATGCTTTAACAAACATGCTACAAAATTTCATTCTTACTCCTGAGAGTCTGTAATCCGAAAGCATCGACGCTCGGCTGACCTTGGTGCCAAGTTTCCAATAAGAATATACATTTCGCTTATCAAGGGTAACAGCTTCTCAAACTCCTGAAAATCTTATCGGATATCAGGGCAATTTAGTATCTCTACTCGCAAGTCTAGGGGGTCATTCATATTCATCAAGTTACGCGACATTAACTCAGTCCTTGGACAACTTATACTACTTCTGCGCAGCCTTGGTTCCCGTACGCCAACAAAAATACACGTTCGTACTTATCAACGTACGAAAACTTTCAACTCTCGAACATGATCAACATTTATGAAGCTGCAGACTCTAAACATTAATATTCATCGAAATTCACGAAGCCAGGTCTGTCCTTGGACGGCTCGTACTGCATCAGCAGAGCTTTCCTGGCTTCCTTCTCAGGATCCCTCGGAGGACTGGGCAATATAGTCTTCCTCTTGCAGGGCAGCTTGAACTTCCGGTCCACGGGTTTGCAGCCAGGCATCACGGATATCCTCCGTTTGGCAGGAACTGCGTCCATCCGCCTCCAAAGAAAATCCACCTCTGGTTTCATCTCGTCGGGCATTAAATTTAATATCAGCTGTTGCCTGGCTGCAATTGCGTCGAACACGAGCAGCTTTTCCATGTCCATATCCTCGATGATCCCGATGGCATCCTTATAAAAGTCAACTAGGAAGTTGAGGCCCAGTTTTTTCGAACTAGACAGTGCCAGGAGAGCTGCCTCCTTCGCCTCGTTGCGATAATTCTGGCTAATTTCTATTCGGAGGAACAGATGCTGACAGTTCAGCATCCATTGCTCGCTGCCAGCTGTTTCGCCCATGTCTCGAGCTTTCTTTCCGTAAAATCTGGCCAGATCGTAGCGACGGATGTCGATTAGATATTTGGAGAGCTCGTGGAAAAGCCAGGCTAGCTCCAGAGGCTCTGACGCCATGGCTAATCTCCTGTGATATTAATTTCAACGCGTAAATCGAATTTTCCTGATAATCGAATAGAGGTGTTTACAAAAGCGAGATTTCAAAGGTGGATAAGAAGAGGAAGAAACGATAAAAGGAATAATCTGAAGGAGGACCTGCGATAGTTCTTAAGAGCTTCTTTCCTATCAGAGCTTCTTATCCAACCGATGTCAGTGTCTCGTGGTAGTTCAGCCACTCGAATTCCCAGATGATGTCTTAGGTACGTTTTCTTGAGTTTCCTGTCACGTATCTTCGACAAATCGCGGGTATCTATGTAGGTCCATGCAACCATGTTGTAGAGTACGTTCAGACACTTCTCTCTGAGTGGGAACATCTTCAATGAGTACGAATCAAACTTGTCCTTCACGCGGTCCACCATTCTGACAAAATCAAATATATCTCGAATATTGTTCCTTTCTAGAGAAGAACTCTGTGCGGTGCACAGTGTGAGCTCGCAGCTGGATCTACTGCGCGTTGCACGCAAGGAGTCCGCTGTTTCGGTACAGGAGCAAGTGGAGTATTCCACGCGCCTAATTTCATTCTATCCGCCTTACATGCTCGCTCGTAGCCACCACTCTTCCATAACAATACCGAAATCGCTACCTTCAGGTTTGATAACGTTATGCGTTAACATAGGCGTAAGATATGCCTAAAATTCTTATACTCGAATTATACATTGCAAGCCTGCTAATATGATAGTAATATGATACTGCAGAGCAAAACATAAGCAAATGTTTTCAAAATATAGGCAAATCATAGGCGTAAGATATCGGTAAAATTCCTATACTCGAATAATACATTGCAAGCCTGTGAATTTAAGAGTAACACTGTACGAGCAAAACATATTATTTTCACCTATACTTCGTAAATATTGAACATATATTTAATACGTGTATAAAATACAAGTATAGTTAAATAAAATTCGGAAATGATCATTCATCGGAAGAATCTGAAATGAATGCTTTAGAGATAAGTCTACGCTCTTGCATCTATTTCTTACATCTGTCTCACTTTATCTCGAACGTTTCATTTGCTTTCTTTGTTACGCGATGCTATATAATTAGGCTAATAGGAATCACTTCTGTCAATAAGGGAAGCGCGTTTACTCTATTTCTATAATGGCGTTAGTTATCCATCCTAGCTAGTAGTCATCTGCAATGGCGTGGGTTTGTGAGAGTCAGTGGAAATTCGGTGCTACGTTTTGCTCAGCGGACTTCTTATCTGCAACGCGCAGTAGCTCAACGAACAACTAACCCGAAGAACGTGATGTAATCTTTTCGCATCCTAATTTCGTGCAAGCGACGCAACAGGAAGTCAGCCTCGACGATGATAATGTGCCTTTTCAATCTTCTCTCGTCTTCGAGTTTTCTCTTGAAGCTAGGAGGCAAGGCTCTGAGCCTGAATATCATTACGTATAGTGGCCGTCGCATTCGCAAAACATTCTGCCTGCGGACACCCCTTTTATAGTTCCTCGTCACCAAAGAATGAAGGTACGCGGAGCTATCTTTGTTCGGGGACTGCAGTTTCTCTGGATTCTCGGACAAGTTTTGCAGAAATTCCTTATCGTGTGCCAAGTAACCGAGATACATATGCGCAAGGATACTCTGTTGGCTTTTAAACTCAGCTTCCGCTCGGGCTTTAGGATCGTTCACCTTGAACTTCGACTGCTCCTCCTCTATCCCTGTAAAATAATTGTACTTTATTGGGATTTCGAGGATGAAATCAAAGCGTTTAGCATGCGGGGAAGTAACCGTATTCAGTTGTACAGCGATAGATATATAAAGTTTAACACGTTGACTACCAACTACGAGATATCTCGTAGGTTGTCTACTTGTCCAGGACGTCTACTACGAGTTACCTCGTCCCTTCATTACTTGCCATATTTGTACAGCTATGAGTAAACCCTACAAGGCAAAGTATAACAGTATAAATATTGCAGGCATATGGTTTGATTGGCAAATATACGGAATAAAGGATGTTGTTAATTCCAATATATTTTATTTGCGAGTTAAAGAGACTTAAGAGTAAAGATACAAGCTAAAAGATTATACTAATTACGCAATCCATACTCGCACAACTCTTTGAACTATTACTGACTCGACTCTCTTTCAAACTTCGTGTATACTCTCACCAATAGGACTGTGTCCATGAGATTGACTCAGCACTGAGAGATTCCCATTTGATCCCCCTGACGACATAATATTTACCAGCTCGATTGAGGTAGTTTCTTCGATAGAAGTTACAATCACGAGTTCCCTACTGTTGTATTTCAAGTAACTCTTTATTTTCGTTACAAACTTACATGCACACTTTGGCCGAGTATGTATCAGGTCTTTTAACAGTGTAACTCCAAACCGATTACCAGCAGAAGAAGAATAAAATGATTTTGGGATGATTGGGAGAATATTTATATGCAAATTAGGTAGCAAGTAAGGGTTGTCTGCAGATGGAAGATTGAGAGAGGATGACGTAGGACAGATCAAGAAAGCTCAGGTGGAGTAGGCAATAGGGCGATAAGGATAAGGAATAAAAAGTCACAGATACATTATCTAATGTACATAGATGAACACTTACAGATTACTAAACACTCATCCAACGCTACTTATGACCCGCCACTGTTCTCCAGGTCACGATTAATATTCCATCAGGGACGAGGGGGAGAGAGGGAAATTAATTGTCCGCAGAGGCACAGTTATCTTTTTATCTATGCTATATTACATTTGAATTAACGTTGCCTGGAACAAGAGACAAAAGCGGCGCACGAAGCAGCCACCTCTTATTACGGTTTCAAATGAAATCCTGGCCACGTTGGCTGATCCGGTGAAATATCACCGAGATACGGATTATAATTTCGCGCAAAGTAGAATTGATTACCGCTGCAATAAAGTAGAATTAATTATCTTTTTAAAGTGTTGGCCAGCGTTGGCTTATCACCTCGTGTTTTCCGGTTTGCCGAGGGGGTGGAACGCGCCAGATGTTGTTCGTTAACGCGGTAACAATGTTGGCAGCGAGCCCTTCTAACATCGGTGCGGTCCAAAAGGAATTAAAACGTGTAGCGAACGGCATTATCGTAGGAATGTTTGGTGGGTAACAGTATGATCGCAATTAAAATATAAAAATTGATTTATACTTGTAACTGTGCTGTTGTGAGGTAACCTAATCTACAAACCCAATAAACATACAGGATCCTCAGACGTTGCCTGTTACGACACATTATGAGACACGTCAAGATAGCTTAGACTCTTGACACATAATCACAGTGAATCACTTAAATTTTGCTACCACAAAATAACCACCCCTTGGATCTATAACACAGTAACACCACGGACTCCTTCCACGGCTCAAAACCCTGTTATAAATAATAGTATTAGCACTATGTCGTCCACATGTCTAATTGGGATTCTTTCGTTTGGTGCCAGTAGGACTGGCTCATCATTTGCTCATGATACTAACGTAGTATCACTAGTATTTGCCCGATAGTTTTCGAATGACACCAACGTACTTCCACCGGACGACATAATGTTGACTTGAGCCTGTAGCGATCATTCTCACCCTCGCCACTAGATGGATCCCGATTTCAAGAAGGTTCGAGGATTTTCTCGCAAGTCCTCGGAAAATGTCCACTTCTTATACACATATAACTTCCAGACCTTCTGTATAGTATCTAATAGCATCCCCGTCTAAGGCTAGCCTTAGATCTAAGGGCCTTAGTGATGAATCCACTAGCAGGTCCAGGACGAAACGCTTATTTCTTCCTTTTCCTTTCATCCCTTCTAGCACCATCGCAACTAGGATACCTGCGACACGAGCCGACTTCGACTACAATGAGGGAGGACACCCTATAAACCTAACCTCGAGAGTTACGTTTATTTGTATTTTACTCGTGCACCATGACACTCTAAACGCTGACTATGCATACTTCTCTTCTGACTCTGACAATAGACCCCTTCGCATCTTAACGCACTTATTTTATCCTGGCATTTTAAGACATCCTTCACTGGCATTCCATGTATTCTCCAAATATTCCGTTTATACGATCCTTGCACACGAACACTTGTACTAGCGCATGAACTCCAGATAGTCTCAAGCCTAACCCGAGGCCGCTATTGTTACTCGTTTTCGAGTAACGATCTAAGCATTCCCACGCACTCTGCATTCATACCCGCACAAAAGATACCGTCATCCAGGCGATGACCTCCTACATTATGCTCTAACGAGTTTTCCTTTTTCCACTTTCTTTAACGTTCCTTCCCGTCGTTCCGCTGCGAGAAGTCATCTTCGCGACCGGGACGGAAAGTTACAGTCCAATTAGTACAGGAAACGGAAAGTCCAACCCGGGACGAGTGCAGTTAACTTCGTTCGCCAGTGGAACAGGGTTTACTGCGAAAACTAGGGCCGTTAAATCAGCAAGTTGCGTCTGGACTTAAGAATTATACTCCCATTTCCGCTTTGTCCCCTTAAATTAACTTTACCAGTCTTCTGAAATTGAACTGAAAACCTAGCGAAGGACATACGCGTTTGAATCCTGTTTTCGATGCTAACAGAGTAAGATGGAACATATCTGCGATTCTAAACGGATCGTGTCAGCAGGAGACTATCTTATTAGACTCGGGGATCGGATAATTTTGAAGTTAAATTTTAAATGAGTTATTTTACATCGGTCGTACCTGCAAGCTCGTCCACTTCCTCTTTGAGCTTCTCGATCAGCAACGCTCGGTACTCCTGGAGCTCGTTTATCCAGGGGTAGAGAAGTTGGAGTGCTTGAGGAGCGGTATCTGTGCCGATGCAGTCCTCGATGGTCTCCTGGCCTTGCAGTATTCCATGCTCCAAGAACGTGGTTGGATACTTCTGAAAGCCTTGATGTGCATGCACCAAACTGTACTCGAACTCGCCGATGGAAAATAGCGTCTGCAACTGTATGTCCTTCACGTAGGAATGAGTTGGATCTGTAAATAAACGCCATCTAGAAAAGCAGCAGGTACTCGCTTTTAAACATCCTGGCGTTGGTCACTCGAAAGTTAACTCTGTCGTTAAATTAATTTGCAAACGCAAAAATTACCTAGCTTCCTTTGAGGTTATGTTGCACGGATAAAGGTAAAAGCTCAGAAATTTCCCGAATTACCGATATTTTTCCTAACTGTAATCGTTGTAACTCGTATTGCGAGTAAATTACAAGCTTCTAACCTCAAATTCTATTCTGGAAAGTTCCAACTTCTACGGATTGCAAGTGATAAAGAAATACGGAAAGGAGGTTACGTTTGGTCACTCGAAAGTTAACTCTGTCGTTAAATTAATTTGCAGACGCAAAAATTACCAAGCTTCCTTTGAGGTTATGTTGCACGGATAAAGGTAGAAGCTCAGAAATTTCCCGAATTACCGATATTTTTCGTAACTGTAATCGTTGTAACTCGTATTGCGTGTAAATTACGAGCTTCTAACCTCAAATTCTGTTTGAGAAATTTCTAACTTCTATAAATTAAAAGTGATAAAGAAATACGAAAGGAGGTTATGTTTGGTATCCAAATGACAACGTAGTAAATTACAAGCTTCTAACCTCAAATTCTGTTTTAGAAAGTTCTAACTTCTATAAATTAAAAGTGATAAAGAAATACGAAAGGAGGTTATGTTTGGTATCCAAATGACAACGTAGTAAATTACAAGCTTCTAACCTCAAATTCTGTTTTAGAAAGTTCTTACTTCTATAAATTAAGAGTGATAAAGAAATACGAAAAGGAGGTTATGTTTGGTATCCAAATGACAACGTAACATAGAAAACTTACATAGGAGTATTAAATTTTATATTACAAATATTTTCTCTTAATAAAGCTTGGTGACTAACCTATTTGTATGCATTTCTCAGTGGTGATCATCGCCCTGTTGAACCTGGCATAATGAAGCTGTGTCTGAGCGAGACCCAGGTACGTCCTGAGATCATTATGCTGACCCTGCTGAATCGCCTTCTCGAAATATAATTCTGCGACGGGATATGTCTCAAGAAGTGCCAGGCGATAACCCCATTCCCGGTAAACTATGCCGTCCCTGAAGAACAAGGGGCCATCGTCGTCCCGCGTTCTCACCATCTTGCGACGAATCGAATTCTCCTGTATAGGACGAGAGAAATTACTCGGAAGACTTTGTGGCGAGGGTGGACAGAGAGATTTCGTTGACGGAAGCTAACCTGTGTCACGGATCGATATATGATTCGCGAAATTGAAAGAACCGTCCGGAGTCCAGAGGCTCCCCTTCACTCATGAATTTTGCACCGTGGACTGAAAAGGACGAAGGATTTCAGGATCACATTTTTCTGAAATTCTCGTGATCCTCCGTGGGAGCGGACAGAAGCTTCTGTCGCGTAGTTCTACATGATATCAGCTGATTTTGATGCACGTGTGCGGGGTGGTTCAAGCTGTTGGATCAAAAGACTCCTAGCTCGCAGTCATTTGTCTCGCTGTCTTCCGCTTTGCGGAAATAAATAATAGATAATAAATACAATAAACAAATAAAATCCCAAGTCACTCAGCATTTAGGACCTCACTGCTGGAAGACTCTAACGGGTCCATTAGACCTAAGTTCCAGACAGGGACACTCTATCCTAATAAATGAGTACTTCTCACTTACCATTCCTACAGTAGCAGCTTCTTTTCAGTAGTTATTGAAAATTACGTATATAAACGTATCTTGAACTTTCTCTGAATCCAGCCAACCGTTGAAAATTTATGAATGAGACGAAGACGATTTTCGAATAGCCTGTTGCAAGAGCAAAACTCTCCCTCTCGTGATTTTAGCTCGCACGGGCGCTCATGATTCCTTTGAGTGGAGATGCAACGAGCGGACATAATCCGCTTTCGGCTCTAAAATACTAGGACGCACGTAAAGCTCCTTGTGGCATTAATTGTCACGCACGGCGGGGGATTACATCGAAATGGCCGAAGAGGATTTACCGCCGCGACTTTTTCCGCTCCTTTTGCCTCTTGGTCCAGAAACTTTATATTATCAGCATTCCTTCTTGCGCTCCCCGTTTCACGGTATCCTGGATATTTATCGCTCGCTGCCTTGAAATATGAATCTTAAAAGCTCTCGCAGTAATCGGAAACTCGGGTGTAAAGGTATATTCGGTCTGCGCTTGGAATAAACGCGAATGTTTGAACGTTTTCATCAGAAAACAAGTTTACCTCTTGTTTCGCCAATGGAACCTTGCTCTTGGAATATCATCCCCTTACACGATGAGGTAGACGTTTAATTTTCACTGCACCCTTTAATGAAATTACTAACAAAACGATCTGTAAAGGAAAATATCGTTAGTATTGGAAAATAATCCAGCTGTGAAATTCTTCCTCGTCGGTTACCTGTATGAAACAACTCGAATGCGAGAGAGAAATATATGTCACTTTGTTGCAGGACACTGGTAAACCGGAAGATCTAGTAACGCGAAGACGTCGGACAACCGTGGACCATCAGTTTAGCTGTGCCCTCGAGATGCGGTGATGGCTCTGCTGTACAGATTCGTGCAAGTACCTGATAGCAGTGGCACGCGGATCTTCTCGTTCGTCGTCACCAGGAACGTAGTTAGGGACCCTGAAAGGGACGTCACCAGTAAGGAGCTTGTCTGCGGCTTCCAGCGATGGTCCGTCGCGTTTTCGCGTGGAAACAAGGTAAACTTGGCTAAAACTCTTTGTACCATGGTCAACTCGCCTTCCACATTTCATAGCCTCTGAATTCTTTAACCGTTTGAGTCCCAAGCAGCGCGATCGCGCTGTTCAAATTTCATGTCGAGAAGACCCAGCACGTTTCGAGCGTTCTCGAAGCTGGCAGTGCGTCACTGACTGTCGAAATCGAAACGCTATCGCGCCACTCGGCCATTCGTCGCCATAATATAAACGAAGCGCTATAGCGCTGCTTGGGTCTCTCGTACCCACTTAGAGGCAGCGCGATCGCGCTGCTTGGGATACGTGGACAGTGTTTCTTCAAAACTCCCTGGGACTCAAACGGTTAAACAAAGCCCTTTGGAAGTTAAAGAAAATTCTTCGCGCGAGTACCCATACTCGAGTGCATAAAAGGGATAAAAACGAAGAGAAGTAATACGCTAAGCACGTGTATCTGAGAATCAATCATCCAAAATGGCTGCCTTAACCGCGAACGCGATGGCAGAAATGAAATGACGCATTAAAAGACAGGTAATCCTCGGGTAAATAGGTTATCGAGGTATGGAGAATCCATATGACGGGTTAGCTGGCCATTTCCAATTAACGGGTTGGAAATAGCCATTAATAAAATCGCGATGCACCGAGACACGCGACGGTGTGCACAGGTAGATTTACCTTGGAAAATAGCCTGCCATTTATCAGAATTCATCAGTAAAAATCACGAATCGATGGAAGCAAATGTAGCGAAATTGTTTGCAACGTTGCATCGAGCGAACGGCGAACATGGCCTCGGCTGTTTTTCATTTTCCAACTGAAATGTCAGCCAATTCTCATCTTCCATTCGCGATGGAAATCCGTAATCCACGCGAATGGCGGCGAATCGCTTGAAAAATCCAGCATTCACTCGCACGACGCGGACTATAGATTCGTAGACGAGGTGTCCCTTCGAAGCCAGGGCTTCCGATAAATCCAATTTTCTTCTAGCAACGTGGAGAAGTATTCCAATTGCAATCTTAACGACTCCGAGGAACTCGGGGAAAAAATTATCCAGCAAGGATATTTTTGCAAATATTTTCTGCAATCGTCTTGACTCGAGCTCTAGCTTCTCTGGAAAACAGGAAAGGATATTGCCGTTTAATTGGGTTCGATCGATATTTGTGGATCCATTAATCCCGACCGCGGTTCGTTCCATTAAACGCAGAATCCGATTGAAAAATCAATCTGCAATGGCGAAGCTTGAATTCAATTAACGCGAGAACAAGTCGCTTTTGTACACACGGTGCGCGGAGTACGCGCATCAAAATCTGCCGCGATTAACTCGATAATTAGATAACGATGATATCAGGAATTAATGAAGCGGCGTTTAATAACCCACCATCGACTGGTTCTCGCCGGCCGGAATGAAATCGCGAATCCCTGGAGACGTGGACCGGAAATAAAAGCGAAGTCCATTGCGATAGATTATGTTACCGGTGATGTCTTGCACGAGCTGGACAGAAAAATGCTGAAACGCTGGATAAGAAATAACCCTTTCTTCGAACTAAACTGGCAAAATCCAAAGCGTTAAATCTACCACGAAAAAGAAATATTTGCTTCGTAGGAAATTTTTACGAATTGCTTAGTTTCCATAAGTTTCAGTTTTGAATTCTCTGAGAAATGAAGTAACGAATGTAAATCCTCTTCCTCTGTCCTCGATTAGGTCCTGGGCGCGTATCTAGTATGGCGCGCGGCCTCGAGAAACTTGCGGGTCTACGTGGACTTCACCTTTATCTGAACCGGGAACACTTCTCCATGAACGAAGGCTTCTCCGGGAAGCGCGTGAGATTCACGTACGAAGCGCCTGCCCAGGGCAACCGGAATTACATCCCGGTCTCAGACCTCTACAATCGAAACTTCGCCGACACGAATGGCGAGTTTCAGCTGGAGTTATCAATGGCGAACGTGAGAACGGTCTACATGACCGACCTTCAGATGCCCAGCAGCACGTTTTCAGCTGGACAATCCAAATCTAACAAGCTGGAAACCGATTATTTCGCTTTCGGTGGCTTCGACTGGAACCTGGTTATTTATCCTCATGGAAACAAGGAATTGGAAGGTTACCGTGGCCACGATAGTTGCATCAGTGTTTACCTGATGAGGATGAGTGGCTTTGACCATCGGTGCAGAGTTAGATACAGCGTGACTCTGGGCGAAGGGGACCGTAGGATCGATTCGGGCCAGATCGAAGACCTGTCTGATGCTGAGCAGTGCGGTTTCGGCTGGCATCCACGAGTCAGGTGGTCCGATATCGCGCACAAAGGCGTAGTGCGAGTGTCTCTGGAAATGGTGGAAGCCAGGACCATCTGTGAAGTCGCTGTGCAGGCTCGAGGACCTTCCACTCTAGCAGCTACGCCTTGTTACGATCGTGACAAGCAGGCTTGGATGATACGAGCTGATTTGCATTCGGATACCGTCAGGCTGCACCTGGTGTACAAGGATATTCATAACGTTCCTCGAAATCACTTGAGGTTGGTAATTATGTGAGAATTTACCGAGATTAGGTTAAGGTCTATACTGCTAATGTACAATGTCCAAAATAAATTGTCTACTCTAAACTGATTAAATATGAGATTCGAGCACGCAGCGTTTGATATTTTAATCGTTCGATATATTGAAATACGGAAAGGAACATCGAGCAGTCAGTTGAGTCTAGACAAGACTTGCTCTGTAATGATTTAATAATTTAATAGCAATTTAACCCTTTCGCTTCGGCAGTACCGTCACTGAACGGAAGCACACGCCAGAAACATGCACAGTGCGTGTGATTTCTGTATATTTCTGTACATTTTCCTAAGTCTTAAATAACAACAATCGTATACAGATTGCACTTGTATACGCATCATTTCGATGCTGGATATATGGAGTGTCCGTACCCAGGAGTCATCGCGTGGACGCCACCTATAAGCAGTGCTCGAAGCGAATGGGTTAATAGCAATTTAACGACGACTTACTCTATGAACAGTGTTTTAATGCGGCCAATCTTGATTCTGCTTGATCAGGTACGTCAGCTGGTCAGCCTACCTACTTCAAGATGCGGAGCCAAGCACGATCGCGATCGGTTTACCTGGCGCCCCCTTCAGCCGCTACTATGCCCAAGAGTCAGCGGACGAGGGCATCATCATGGAGACGAATCTGGACACGAACAACGTGAAGGAAAATCAATGTCCATTTCTCACGGACAAAGGGCAACTGAGGATCCGGTTGGAGTGGAACGAGAGCCACTTGCTGTTCCAGGCAACCTATCACAAATACGACGACGTGTGTCGCATCCACAATGAGCAGATGAGACGAGAGATTGTCTCGCTGCAGACAGAGAACTTTAGCTTGGAAAAACAACTGTTCAGTTATCAGAAGAGCCTGGCGTACACACAGGCGCAGCAGCAGCAACAGCAGCAGCATCAGAATCAACAGCATCACGGTGGCCATCAGGCCCACTTGGAGAGATCCGCGTCCACAGACACCGAATATGCCTGACAAGTGGAACAGATGCACTCGAACCAGCTGCCAGCTGCCAGTTGCCGGCGACAATTGCCGATCGTGCACGAGGACGATCGTCGTGTACACCAAAACCTGGTCAGGATGATGGATCGACGATTGAGCAACGTGCAACTCCAGCAACGACTGTACGAAGCGGACGCGGTTTATCAGCAAGAATACGGGGACGGTTCCCCGGGTCAGAATATCATCGATCAGACAGCGGAGCATCATCGCCATCGTCTGAGTATCGTGCAGCAACCCAAGTCGGCGCGTTCCAGCGTAGGCAGATCGGACAGCGGCTCGGATCGTGGAAACGATCGTTACACCGGCTACTATTTGGGGTACGTCGGTCAGGCAGCGCACAAAAGACGTAGGACCACTTTCTGGGAGACCCTGACGGGTCTTGTGTGCTCATTGGGCGCTTTGGCTTCCAGGGCTGCCAAGATGGCCACCAGACGGGGAGAGCCTCTTTGAAGAAGCTTAAGCGCGTTCTCGTGGACCAGTGGACTGGTACGTTTACGTTTGGGATCACGAAACGGATTACAGAGAAATGGGGTACTGTCTGACGGTTATTGTGACGTGTTGTGAACACGTTCGGAGAACGAGACGTGACACGGGGAAGAGAATGTGAGGTGAAGAGCATCGTCGATGGACCAGAAGTATGATCAAAGGAGTCACTCGTTTCGTGTATTCGTCGTGTTTATCGTTGATGTTGAATAGAGGAAAAGAGAAGGAATGAGTTTATATAGAGTTCGGATCGGTGGATCGCACGATTCGTCCATAAATTCTATCGAGAAGGAAGATTCTCGTGAAGAGGCTAGTTAAAAGAATTTGTTTTCTTCCTAGTGGGCGCTATACAAGCTCGTGACCAGATTACTGAACAACTCGACAATATAGCAGATAAATGAGGTGAACAGCGAAAGCAAACGGTGGCGGCAGTGGGAAAACATTGGGTTTGAAAGGTATTACTAGCACGAAGACAGCCAATTGATCATTTTCGTCCATTTTTTTGTCGAAGGATTTCGATTTAAGGGAATGTGCAAGAATGAAAAGGGCTAGTCTTGTTCGATTTAAGCTTATCGGCAAGGCAACGCTGATGGAGGAAATTCGGTTGAAAGGAACCAAGCAACCTATATGGAGCTGTTCTTTCTTTTGAGAGTTACCGCAGGTGGAACCAGGAAGGTTTTGACGTTAACAGCAAATCGATTTGAAAGCTGGTCAAATTTCACATACGTATACATACACGCATACACTTCGTAGGAACCAGTCAAGAAAGGAAATTGAAAGAGAAAGTCAAAGAAAAAAAGAAAAAAAAAAAGGAAAAAGATAAAGAGAGAACGAAGTCACCCTCGATTGCGAATTCTATTATACACGTTACATGAATACAATTCTATCTACTACTTTGTCAATTTACTAAGGGAAAACAAGAAACAAAACAAAATACCTATTTTCCTCTAAAGACTTTTTTCACCTATCGTCTACGACTTCTTTGATAATAAAGAATCCGTGCGCGGCGTAGTCGCCGAGACGTAACAGCGTACTTATGGTAGAATACTTACACCTAAAAACGAATACAAAGAAAAAAAAATTAATAATAATAATATTAATAATAATACTTTAGAGTGCAGTCGATGTTACATAAATCGAAAGTAGGGATGAACGAAGGGCTCGATCTCTCGTTGCAGAACAATCCACGTGGTACACCATAAACATACACATTTACACATGTACACACACAGACATTAATGTTCGTACTCGACCATCGGCTTTTTTCCAAAACGAAAAAGCCAAAAAGAGACCAGGGTAAAAAAGAAACAAAGAAATAACACGAACGATCCATGTCAGATTTTTGACTGTCCCATCTCGTTGATACGTTCCATTCATTTATTATTGTACCAAGAGTTCGTTAATTTCTTTCATTAATTACCGAGCCCAGTGTATGTATGTATGTCAAGTCTATCTTTATCTCATTCGTCGATCAATTTTACAATTCCGAATCACTCATTGATACATATATGTGTACAATTATTCTGTTTCTCGAAAATTAGCAATTACGAATTAAGCTAACCGTCGTCGTTTTATCGATAAATTACCTATCTGGAGATATAACTACGCGTTCTAGATAACACGATCGAAGGTGCAGTTATACCAGAAAGAAATTAACGAATATTCCCTATATAGAGTGAAAGAAGCACGAACAACGTGCCGCATGTAGCACCTAGATCGAAGAAACATCCAGTTTATTGCTCGTCGAAAGTACACACTCCTTTCTTCAACCACTCTGGCCATGTTCTACTGTACCTGTACCAGTCTAGTGTCACCATACGTGCGAGGTCTTCGACGATATTGCACCTCTCAGCCCTTGCGTCGTCTATTTATCATCTACTTTACCATCACCTCTCTTGCCATCTATCATTTCTGTTCTTCATTTCTGAGCTTTCAATTTTCAAATGGGACGGTAGTCGAGGATCTTCTCCGAAGTAGCTCAGCATTTAATTTATCTGCTTCGATTCCTATTCCTTTTTCAGATTTTTCAATTCCCTCGGATCTTGTATTCCCTTTATCTCTTGCGCTTTCGACTTCCCTTCTTTGCCCCTAAAAATACCTCTGTTCTTGTATTCGCGTTATCTCCGTACACCTTATTCCCAAAGAACCGATAACTTACTGCGCTTCGCCACTCCTGCATCCCAAAGCAGTTTGCTCCTTCTTCAATTCCTCTTTAGTCAAGAGCAGATACTGGACAAAGCTTTATACAAGCCTCGACAGATGTAGATACCCCATCGTGCGAACTTTCCTTTCACCAGGAAAGTCCTACATCTTCCTTCTCCTTCTCCACCTAAAGTAATTCACAAATCAGTACTTTTCATCTTCTACCTCAACTTGGAATACGCCTGTCTGGAGACAAGGAAATGTACAATTCAAACCAGCGAAGTCTACGTGCTAGTACTTGGTATTATTCCATTACAACATCGATTTTCTTCGGAACAGTAGGAATTCCATAAGCGATTCGTGAAACCTGTCCTTCTACCTCATCCCATATCTTCGTCTAGATATGACGTCCCATTTGAAGACTCCATATCCAATTCCTTTCTCCATTTCCTGTGTAATCGTAGCTGCAAATAACGACGTACACCGGAAGACGTACGTGAAGGATACGTGCACATCAATGTCCGCATCTAGCTACATCGGTAACGAGACGGTCGATACGCCACCGTCAGTCCACACACCACATATACGTTTAACAGACCACCATGAATCGTCGTGTACCGCGCACGTGTGCCCGCAGGTGATTCGGGCTTGCTTGTACACACGAAACTCGTTGGGTTCCGTGATGCCTGATTAAAAGCACCGACGCGAAAGCTGATGATGTTTCACGAAAGCCAGGGATATCCTTAATTTCCTCTGGCTAGTTTTCTATCTCATTCTATCTCTGGCCTTCATCTTCAGCCACGATATATCTCTGATTTCGCTCCATCTTTATTACGAAAATTTCCTTTAATTGTTGTAGTTAATAGACGTTTTCGAACATTCTTCATCTCGATGACGTAGACTCTGAAAGATAACAACCTTGTGAGATAATTTTGAATAAAAAATTGTATCTTAGCGTTCGATTATTTCATTAGTCTAAGTGTCTTTTGGTTACCTGGGCATTGGATTTTAGAGTACAGAAGTAACAGTATTTGCGAAATTCGAGCCGGTGCTTTTAACCGGAAACAGCAATCGCGCTGATCGAGAAACCGACACGTCGCATGAAAGTTGTATCCCTCCTCTGAAGTAGTGGAGTCTGTATACTTTGTATATAACTGTACTAAACTGTTGAAGATATAAGAATGAATATTAATCAAGAGAGTTGTGCCTACATACATGCGCGAGACGGAGAAGGATTTGAAGCATTGAATCGCATGATCGAGCCTCATCGTTTCGTTTCGACGATCAAAGCAATTATATTCTCCAATTAGACGTTAACTCGACGGTATCTGTTGCAAAATTGCGTAAATCCCACGTAATCTTGCCCGTATAATTCGTATTATCGTGACCGCTCTAATTGTAACCATAACTTGTGCTACTTTTTGAAATATTTACCACGATACATGTTAAAATTCCCGATAAGGTATATACCGTGACACGTGCTCTAATCTTTAGCATAATACCAGTTTGGAAAAGGCGCTAATCGTGGAAAAATTCTATATGTTCTCACTAACAGTATTCTAATCTCTGTTTATGGGTCAGGCTTAGAAACCGATAAGGGGACACGTGACGCGATTCGCCAAGATAAAAGCACCAAATAACTCGTTCGCTGGGTAATTACTTGTAAGTCCTTTTTGTATCTATGAATCGCGGCTATTGCGGTGAATCTTACTTTCAAGCCGTCTGTTCGATTTCCAAGATATAGCCGGCTGAGCTAGCGGCGAGAACTTATTTCCATTTTAATATAATGCCCACTTAAATTCACATCGTCGTCAAGATTGCATTTGTCCGTGCTTCTTCTTTTAATTTCGCGATGACAATGAGCTACGGCAAGAATTGGAGAAGACGTTGTATTTGTCAAGTTAAAAAAGGAAAAGAAATAAGAAACAAAGCGAGAGGGAAAGAAAAATAACGAAACGATGAATGAAAGATACGATCCTGCGATCCTGGATGATCCTACGTCTATGAAGGCTGAGGATCGTCAGAATCTACTTACATGTAATACGTTTCTGTGAACGTAATAGAGAAGAAAAAATAGGGGAAGCGATCTCTCGTGCAGCGCACGCACTTCCCATCAGTATCCTCGATTCAAAGTTTTCTTATCTAATATACAGTCGTGTGTACAGGACCACCGACGGGAATCGTCGACGTTGATACGTCCCCGAGGCTTGTCAGATATCCCGCCTAATGGCCAACAATCCTCGAACTTGGTTCTAGTCGAAATTAATTAAACAGAGTATAAAGATAGCCGAGAAACGGCCGCGAATCGACACGGTGATTCGTCCGAAACAACAGCGACCAGATCAAGTTGGAGGAGATTTTTATCGGCAACAAAAGACCGATCGTATCTAATGTCATTGTATTGTTGTGTAATTTGTCAGATTTTATCGATCGTAACGTTCGCGTCCGCACAAAAGCGAACACGTATTAAAGAAATGGAACCGTTTACAGGAATCTCACGTGTGTCCCTCCTTGCCAGTCTAAACTCTCCTGTTTCACGGTTTTCAATTTTCTATCGAAACGCTTGCGACAGGCGTGACAGCAGCTCTGACAATCGCACCTAATCCGATCGAACGATTAAATCCCCGTGTCTGTCAGCGCGATAAACCTGCGATTTCCGCTTTGGCGCGTTCTAATTGGTGCTGGTGTACTGGATATATGTCGCACGACACCTGGGAGAATTTATTCGTGAATACAAATGTTTATTCCACCAAAAATGCATGTACGTTTTCAACTATATAACAGTCTTGTAAATTTAAAAGCGCTGAAAGAAGTGGAATTCGAATACCTGGAATATCAAATGCTCTATCCAATATTCGGATTACGTAGCGTATCCAATATCTACATGTTTCGGATAGCTGAAATAGCACTAGCGCAAGCATTTCAGTCACAATTGGTATCCAATTTTCAAAGTTATAAGTGACCCGATACATCCTGTAAATACGTTTGCACGCATACTTGGTTTAACAAATAATCATGCGAATTTTCACGCCTCGTTAAATACAGAGTAATCCAGAGTTCTCGTTCATCCTGTACATCATATAATTATCCAGTTTAATTCAGGAAAGTGCGTTAAGTACGTATAATATGCTATAGAATTGAAATACCTTAATGTATAGACGAAACGAGATTGGAGCTTTAAAAGAAATTGACAAATCATCTGATCTTATCTCCCACGTGTTGTCGATGTTAACGAGCGCCCATACACGCTTCGAAGTCCTCGAGCCCGCGATTCGGCTCGGCACTTCAGTCAATTAAACTCACTCTCGCGAGGGCCGAGTGCGGGCATCGTCGCCGAGAAATGCGGAACACCAAGCGGAGTACATACATAACTATGCTGTACTGTGGTAGGCACTCTCGGAATTTATGAGGAGGATCAGCGTATCAGTCGGGTCAAGGAGCCTCGTTTCTCTCTCTTTGACTTCGTCCTTGATTCCAATCTTTTACTGCCGTATATTACGATCATCTGTACGGTTTCTCTTATCTCTTATTATCTGTAGTTTCTTCCTTCGATTAAACCAAGTTTCGTCGTCTTCTGGTCTTTTTCATCAGCCTGGGTCAATTGGGCTTCATGGAAATCGATGCGTGCGAAGTTAAGCAATCCATGACGAATAGTTTGAAAGATTAACTCCGTATTCTGCAAGTATTCTTGGAATTATTCATGCGGATTTCTTCGAATTTTTAGGCTTAAAACGGAAGTAGCAGAAGTTGGGAAGCTCTAAGCGATGGAACGAATAAAAGGACTCCCGTGCTTTTGTCCGATCTATGTAAATATCGGACATCGGCCTCTTACCCGTTCGCTCTCCGTTCCTGACCCGATATTGCTCTTCCCCACTCCAGCGTCGCATAATTAATTTTTGTCCATCGATATTCCGCGTCTGTAACTCTTTTCAGCGGTGCCGAGAGTCGGGGGAGGAACGTTAATATCGCGCCTGGCTCTAGGTTATCGGTTTTCCTTAAAAACCAGATATGAAATATGAAGAATGTAACTGGTGATGCATATCCATTGCAGAAAGCCCTAGAAAATTTAGCAAAACTTATAGGGATTCGGCGATTACTTGCAAGTTAAATAAACATCCGTCTCATGATACCTTTTTCATTAGATCCCATATAATACTTCGTTTCTTTTCTTTTCCCTTTCTTCCTTTATGTTTTATTTCTCTCTGTTCAATTTCCTTAGTATTTAAATGATCCTATTGATAATTTCCCCCATCTCCTTTCAATCGAAATCTACGAAAAACAGATTCTTAATTAGCAAATGCTCCATAATCCGACTTAACGAACGATGAACGATCGCTAAGATTATCTTGACGATAGAAACTTAAAAGCCGATCTATCATTCGCCGTTGAGTTTCTAACGAAACGGAATTCTGCAGTTCCACGTAAGAACGTCGAGGTGCGCTGACGGACAATGACGCCGTAGAACAATATCAACTCCCTAGGTCATTTTCGCGGTAAGGACCGCTCACGTGTTAGTTCGCGAACCACGGTCACCTGCGAAGCGAATTACTTCGCTGGAAATAATTTTTCTCGCAGTAATTTTAACGATATATTTTCCTGATTCTCCTCCAACAGAAGTGAAAGTCACGTTTTTTCTTATCGATGAGACTCTCTCTTTCGTGTTGCGTATCGATACTTTCGGTACTGTTATCCTCATGCCACTTTATCGTTATATTCTCTCCTGTATAATTGAGAAATAAACAAGAATGCTTTTTTAAAAACAAGATAAACATTGACAAGTGATAAATGACAAATGATTCGTAAAACAATCAACAACCATACGGACTTACATTTTTTACGATAATGGCAGTAACTTCCGGTCGTTATGGCTGAACAAGAACAAAAAACGCACCTTAAAGACACGTATGTTAATTTTCGACGATATCTCGTAACACGAGGGCTAGAGGGAGTTCATCGAACGATCTAGTCGAGCGTTTCCTTTTTCAGCTTCTATCTTCGTCTAATGACTCTTTTTCGATTGATGTATCTTCGTACTTTTTACGCACGATGTAAACACACCTCTTTACGCAACAACCTTTTTTCATGCGTGTGATCTATTTGAAAGAAAAAAAGAATAAAAAAATAATTAAAAAAAATATGCGAACGCAAAACCGTCATACGTTTCTCAGAGTTTTGAGACATATACTAATGTACTTAAACCATCTGTGAGTCTGCCTCGTCTTTTATAAAGTTCTTGCTATATTCAACTGATGGTGGTATTTATTTCGTATTACCTCTCCACCTACGATTTAATAAACGATCTTTATAATAAACGAATTTATATTTAATTGTATTTTACCTGCTTGCATTCGAATGTTTATCAACTAGGTTACAATGGTATTAATCTTCCTTAATATTAGTAGTAATACAATACGGTCAGAGGAGACATCAGTCAATGCATTCAAACTAATATGTTACTTCACTGAATCCAGCATCGATCATGGTTATATGAAACGGTCTATTATTACGCGGCAAGTTTGAAGTACAGATAAAATATAAATGCAGTGACTGACCTAAAACCGAAATTCGTAAGTTATATCACAAAATTACGCGACTTGTGTAGAAATACAAAAAACTAATTTAATAATTTTTTCTTGAGAAACAAACTTTCTGGCTAGTATAACAAAAATACTACAAAATTTTAATTATTGTTTATTAATATTATCCGAATTATCCAAACCTATAATAAAACAGTTTAAAAGAAACGATGACGCATTATCATTTTTCAATAGCATTATAACAATATATTAATAAACTAACCATATGGTATCTATGATAACAGAAATGGACAACTATTTGTGAAGTAGATTTGACCGATAGTTAATCGTCAGACGTCAGTCGAATTGCGACCGTCGCCTAAGTCATTATGTGTCGTATACTGATTATCGTATCATAGTTTTATCTTGTTACAATCGCAACAAGACTGTATTTGGATGGTATATTCCAACAACTTTGCACACACAGTCGCATACGTCAAAAGTACATGCGCACCTACCAAACATCAAATTCGACGAGTTTCTTTCGTTGTAGCTGTAACGTTTCTCCGTGATCTAAGGTTATATTTCTCGTAAAAAAGAAAAAAGAAGAAAAATATATTAAAATAGTGTTAAATGATTAAATGGAATCTCTTCCGAAGTGAAAAGTAATCGTGAAAGCATTTATGTGAAAAAAATATAGGATACCAACGAGTACTCTGTTATGACACCGAAACAGTATTGAATATTTGATAAAAGTATTGATACATCGAATGAATTGTTCCTTTTGTACTTAATTAACATCGATCATTGAACAAGGCCTTTTCAGAGATTACATTTCTCAATTTTAAGGTTTTGAACATAACGAAGAAAGTTTTTATTCGCCGACGTTGTACACGTGTACCTGCGTTTGTGAAAGTTGATTAATTTTCACGAGAGAAAAAAGCTAAAAAACGGCGGCAGAAAGAGAAAAGATTCGTCAACAAGGTCATTTGACTTACTTAGACCCACTGTTGATGAATGACAAAAGACAAAATATGTTAAGCCAAAGGTTAAGTAATAGAAGGTTATTAGTTGACCTGCTTGCATTGATGTTTGGACTTGGTGCATGGATTGGTGTAAATGGTATCTATGTTCAACTGCCACTCCTTGTGAATAATGCCCCAGAAGAATGGAGACTTCCAGCACATATGGTTATGTTAGTACAATTTGCCAACTTGGGACCAATACTTTACACATTATATATAAAGTATGTACATTAAAAAAGATATTTTGAATATATAACACTCTATTAATTTTATATGAGAATACGTACATATACTATGTTTATGTTTTAGATATAGTAAATGGGCATGTGATAAATATATTACATATGTCCTGTTAGCAGCAGGAGCAATATCCACATTTGTATTAGCCTTTGTGTATAAGAAAACTACAGTAATATTTGGCAATGAGCATTCCACTGCTTTATTGTCACTTATGTTTGTAACTGCTGTTGTTGGATGTACAAGTTCAGTTCTCTTTATGCCATACATGAGGAACTACAGAGAAATTTATTTAGTGTCCTACCTTGTAGGAGAAGGACTTAGCGGATTTGTACCAAGTGTGGTAGCATTGATCCAAGGTGTTGGTGGAAATCCAGAATGCTTAAACAGTACTACAGAGAAGTCTACTAATGTAGAATTTACACCATATTACCCAGAACCTAGATTTTCAAGTCAGACCTTCTTCATTTTTATTGGTACTATGTTATTCTTATGTTATTTGTCCTTTTTGGCACTGAACAATTTATCTATTGCCATTGGAGAGCGTGTAAAGTATACAGGAAGAACACAAACAGTACCAACAGATACACGAGCACCTCCCAGTTATAAGACCAGTTCTGATTGGACAATGTCTAAACAAGTGTATTCATATTTATTAATTATGATGGCAGTGGTTTGTCTTCTAGGTAATGGTATGTTACCAAGTATTCAATCATATTCTTGTTTACCATATGGAAATGTTGCATATCATTTGACTGTTACGTTATCATCAATGGCTGGTCCATTGGCAATGTGCTTAGGTTTTGTTATTAAAACGCCAAAAATGAATTTTCTCACTGGTCTCACAATCATTCTTATAGCACTTTCTACTTTTGTTTGCTTCTTAGCTATTAAATCACCCACACCACCTTTACAATTCAGTTGGGTTGGTGAATTCCTAGTAGTTGTATCTTGGATATTAATTAATGGTTTGATAGGGTTTATAAAGTTGGGTATTACAACATTATTTAGACCTGATCCAGGCAGAGGTCTGTATTATACAGGTGTTGCAACTCAAGTTGGATCATTGTTAGGAGCAATAATTACATTTGTTTTAGTTAATCATGCAAAATTATTTCATTCTTATTCACCATGCTCATCAACTCTAGTAAATTGACATTTCATACACATATAGAAACAATTGGGAAAATAAAATATATTTCTTAACTTTTATTATTTATCACTACTGTGTATGGAAAAGCAGGGTTTAATTATTTTTAAAACTGACAGTATAAATTCAGGGAATAGAAGTAGTTGATTTATATACCTAGGGATTAGTTTAGTTTTTGTAATTTCAATATTACCTAAAAATATTAATTGCAACTTCAAAATTAAATTTTATATGTCACTAAAAACTGCTTGTACTATACTGCATATACTGCAATGTAAAAGAAGAAAGATAATTATAAATCAAATATTTCAAATGATTCAGAACAAATGAGTATAATACATTTTTATTTTAATTGTGAATTTCATTTAAGTAAACATATAAGACATAAATATACTTAAGAAATTGTTGATATGTTTAATCAAAATTATTTTATACATAAATAGATAAACATATTTATCAAAATACTAAATTCACAGTGTACAATTATAATATATTTATTGTAATACATTTGGATATCTTTCACTTTGAAGTACCATTGTTTCAATGAGTATTATAATAATCATTAATTTTGTTACAAAGATATCCAATTTTTAGTTTTATTGTGGTACATGACTGATCTAATAAAGGGGGATATTAAAATATACTTTATATACCTCAGAATTAATTATTATAGAGACAATTTTAAGAGGTATGAAGTCAAACTTCGTATTTTATCTGATAAACTTTATTGTCCAGATTAAAGAAGAGCTGAAGCAGACATCTCATGATTTCATCATATCAGTTTCTCTGACAAGAGTGTACCTAATACTGTAAAATTTTAACTAATTTTACTTTTTAAATGTAATTTTGTAAGCCACACATAATGTAAAGTGAGATAAATAGTGAAAGTTATTTTTTGTAATTATAATATTTGAAAAATTATCAAAACAATTAGGTGAGAATATCAATTGTTAAACAAGATTGTACGAATATTGAAAATACGAAATTATTGAATTTTTATTCTTTATTATGCAGGAATAAATACAAATTTAGTTTTTTTATATATAAAAAGCAGAATGACAGATATAACACAAGTTTCAGAGATATGTAATGGGAAAACTTATATTATTAAACATTTTCTCATAATGTTATTTGGCATATCTGCTTGGATTGGCATCAATGGAATATTTATACAAACACCAGTGCTTATCAATACTTCTCCTGAAGGTTGGGCATTACCAGCTTATCTAATATTAGTAATACAGGCTGCAAATTTTGGACCATTTCTTTATACAATCTTGCAATACTTTCAATGTAAGATAAATGAACCTTGGTGGATTCTCTGTTTGCTAGTATCAGGAACTGCTGCAATGGGATTTCTAAGTTTCTTTTATTCTGAGAAAACAATTATTGCTGATAATGAATACAGTTTGGTATTATTTATTTTAACATTTTTCAATGCTTTGGTAGGTTGCTTCAGTTCTGTATTGTTTATGCCACATCTTCGCAATTTTAATGAAAAATTTTTGACATCCTATTTCATAGGAGAAGGCTTAAGTGGTGTACTGCCAAGTATAGTTGCTTTAATACAAGGAATTGGAAATACTTCAAATTGTGCAATTCTTAAAAATAATACATGTATAGAATCTTCAGATTCTTTTGACTTAAATTTCTCTCCAAATGAATATTTTCTTTTCATTTTTATTATTTTATTTTTATCTTTGACTTCTTTTGCTATTTTAGAATATTCTCCAATTTTTCAAAATATAAAACAATGTCATAATTCTATCAGTACAGTATTTAGTAGGCAGCCAACAAATGCTACTCATGACAATTATCCTAATAATGTACAAAAGGTAAAACATTATTCATTAGGAGGAAATTCATTCTTCTGTGATGATAGCAAATATCTGTCTAAACATACACGAAATTATTTATTTACATTACTTGCTATTTTCTGCTTTTTGAGCAATGGTTTCTTTCCCAGTATACAATCTTATTCTTGCTTGCCATATGGAAGCATAGCATATAAATTATCAATTACTTTTGCTCAATTTGCAAATCCACTTGTATGTTTATTAGCATTCTGGTTAAAGATAACAAATATAAAAGTTATTAATTACTTATCTATAATATGCTTGATTATTGGAAGTTATGTTACATATTTAGCATTAATGTCTCCCTCCCCACCTTTACAAACAACGAATCTTGGCATTTTTTTAATTATTGTATCATGGACTCTCTTGACAGGATTTATTTCATATTTAAAGTTAATTATTGTATCAATATTTAGGAATACAGAGTTTCCCAATATACTTTTTTATGCAGGTATAATTATGCAAATAGGTTCTGCAAGTGGTGCAATACTTTCATTTATAATAATTAATTTTACAAATTATTTTGAAATATGTGATAGTTGCGTTTAAATAGATAAAGGTACTATCAATATAATATCTATATAATTGTTTTATATTTTATATATGCTGAATATTAATGATTATAACACTTTCATTGAGATACATACACAATTGATTTATGTGCAAAATTATAATAATTCGTTATTAAAATATCTTTAAAGAAGGAAAATAACATAATATATAAATATATATTTATACCAATATTTTTATAATTGTACATATGTACATGTTTGCATTTGTGAATGGACAGATATGGAAAAATGAATAAGACAAAGTATTTATACAAATTATAATGAATGCATGTGAAAAGAATTAGATGTAAAGATATAAATATCTAATCTTTTTTTTATCTTAAGTACTGCCTTCCAATATCATGTACTTAAGATGTATTTGTTATGTATATTCCACTCGTTTTGAATTACACCTTCATGAAAGATCATTATATTTATGTATTATAGTATCAGTTGTTTATAATATATAAAAACTGTTATTATTTTAAATAAATGTGTTTCAAAAATTATACAAATATGTTTTTTACTATCAAAAATGTTTAGAATTGTGTTTTAAGATTTAATGATTCTTAATTGACTTTAATGGATGTTATGTGAATGAGAAAAGGCTCTATTTTTTGTATTTGACGTAGGTAAATATTACATACACGTAACGTATTTGTATACAGTGATTTGTCATAAATTATAAGATAAATATAAAAGTACGTTTTGACTTGTCAATATATGTTGCCAGCCCTGTCTTGAGAGGTAGATGTGAAATGCATTAAAACGGAGGTCGTAAGTGAGTCATGCGCGTTCATGCAAGACTGCATCGTACAGGAGGACCAAAACGGTAAATAACGTCAGTAAAAAAACAACCGTTACGTTTATTTTTTCTTATTACAAGGTGAATCACTGGGACGTTTAACAGTCGATCGAATGATATTGTTTAAAAACGTAACGTTAAATATTGGCTCTTCTAACCTAAAATGTGCGATGAGGAACAAAATTACGCTCAAATTGAAACCGATCAGACCAAGTCGCAATTGTCTTTATTGGATCTTCCAATTGAGGTTCGTATAAGTAAATTTTGTATGTATTTGTATGTACATAAGTTCGATTAATGAAATAATAATCAAAAATACAAGTTAAGTATTTCCAAACAATTTAAACAATTAAAAAATTTGTTTCCAATAATAACACAAGAATATTATAACATATTCTATCGAACTTTTCCAATTATGAAAATACAAAGTTTACAAAACAAGTGATATGCTATATTGACTGTTTATAAACAATGAAGTAATTCTCTCTAACGCACAGTTTAATATCTCCGTTATAATAGTAATATTATGACTAATATAAGAAGAAAAATCTGTAAAACCAAAATACAAAAGTAAATAAACTAGTTTATTAGTGATCTGTAACGTACAGCTCAAAAATAAGTGGAACGTTACAAATATTTCTGGACATTACAATTCGCGGACGCCATTTTTAAATACCCATTTTGTACAGTATATTTAAAAATTCGATTTTGACGTTACTTACGAACGCAGTATTATATTTAAATATTTTTTTGCTAAAAGTTACATATGCATAATAAGTTATATAATAATTAATATTTTTATTGTTACATTTCAGATATTTCTTCATATCTGCTTATTCCTAGATACATCTACATTAGTACATGGCTTAAGTTTAGTATGCAAACAATTTCATCAAATTTTAAATGACAACTCACTATGGAAAATGAGGATTAGTAAAATTTGGCCAAATACTGGTTATCCAGTTTTGCCTCCTGGTTAGGTCAAATTGATAACACCTTGTGCCTTGCACGACCAATCATTCTATAAAGAAATAAAACACCATCTACTATTGTATCAAATAATTAGTATTACTTTATACTTTTCATAATGAAAGAAAATTAACTCAAAATGAAATTTTCACGCACAACTTTTCACAATAAAAAAAGTGGTTCACAAGTAATAATATTTTAATTAACAAAAAAAAGAATATACTTTATAAAAAATGTAATCTTATATTTAACTTTCTATTCAAAATATATTTTACATAATCATATTTACTAATATTATATATATCTTTCTCATTTATAAAAATATATTATTTTTTTTTTAAGCTGAAGATGATGAACTGTTTTGGAAATTATCATGTGTTGCTCTAGAAAAGCAAATATCATTATGGACAAAAGAAAATTCCATGGAAAAGTTATCACTTACCAATGTACAATACAGTACTATTGATGGTTTATTATTAATGCAGGTTAGTATATCTTGATTAATGTTTATTCAGTTCTGTCCTTTTATAAGTTTCATATATTAGTAATAATTTTCATACTAATAATGCAAATGTATACAGGATGGGAACATTTGTATATCAGGAGCTAGAGATCGAACTCTAGTATGTTGGAAACTTCCTACAGCAGAAAATGAGAAAGATAGTTACACATGTATAGAACTTGCACATAATGGATGGATTTGGGATCTAGCAGCAATAGATAATACAGTCTATAGTTGCAGCTGGGATCAAACTGTCAAAGCATGGACGCTAACTAACACTGGTCTTGTTCCCTTCAAAACTTATGACATGTACATAAGAACCAAGCTGGTCATTTTCTCTACTCTCGTGGGAAGGCCGAGCGAGGAAGACATGGAACCTTTGTTTTTAAGAAATATACAGTTAGACTAAAACGTACATTCAACAAAAATAGTATTAAATCGCAAACATTATTTTTTTAAGATTTCTCGATAAAAAAGCAATCAAGTAGAAAACTTTGCTCTCACTCGCTCTGCCAACAGTGGCTGTGCAAAATACTGTATTATGCTAACAAGTTACAATATTTTACAGAAATGTCAAATAATTTTTTAGGGCTATCTCAGGTGCTTTATTGTGCATCGCATCATGTCCAGATTTAGCTCTTTTTGCAACGGGATCATTTTGTAGAACTATTTTAGTATGTGATTCGAGATTAGATTATCAACCTATTATAGAGTACCAACCACATACAAGAGCCGTAATTAGTCTCGCCATGAGTTCTCATTTTATTTTATCTGCTAGTGAAGATAGAACAGTATGTATATGGGATCAAAGAGCGCGAAAAATTATGAAAAGTGTCACGGTAAAACTATTATGATCAAAGAGCTTTATAAAACAAATAGTCAAGTTTTAACCATTCTAAAGGATCATATTTTAGATTTCTCAGGAATCATTCCCTATGAGTATGTGTATCCAGCGAGATATGGTTTATGTAGGAGATGGTAATGCAAAATTACACGTACTTGATCCAAACAAAGGTTTTGAACCAGTCAAATATTATACTACTGAACATAAGAAAGGTATTAACGGTGTTCATCTTGCACCTGGATGTCTAATCACATGTTCTATGGATGAAACAGTTCGAATTTCCAGTCCTACCGACCCTCCACAACCTCTTACTACTTTAAAGTCTAATTATGGTGAAATAGCTAGTGTATGTAGTCTAAAGTAGTGTATAACATATTTTTATAAACATTATTTATATAAATTAAATTTTTTTAATTTTATAGACGGATTATTTAAATGATGTTCTTGCTGTTGCTGGAACAGAGGCAATTGAAATCTGGAGACCACAATCGCAAGTCCAGTGTGCATAAATATGTCAATAAATTAATTACTTCTATAATTACATTTGTGCGACTATAGTTAATTAATCAAACACCAAAAATTATTAAAATATATGTTACTGTAAATAGTACATCTTTCTACATTTAAAATTTAGCCGCTAAACAGGAGTGTAATCGTCGACTTGAAAGCCCTGAAGAAAACTTCGTTGGTTGTTCATTTCGAAATTGATTTCAAAAATTAATATCGTGAATTTTTAACAACTTAAATTAAGAAAAAAGAAAAAGATCCGAGTAATGTCGTATAACATAAAATAACATCAAATTAGAAAAAAATCCCTGAACTTTATACAAATCCAAATAGCAAGCCGATCGATGTCACTGTTGTCGCCGGAAGTGCTCGTCTGCTAAGTATCGAGAACGTTCAATTGTCTATCTACATGAATTATGCAAAAATGGAATATCGTGATAAAAAGATGTTAAATATTCATGTAATTACTCTAAACAATTAATCACGAGTTTTTTAATACGACCTAGCGAAAATTAACTAAAGAATCCTGGTGTCATACGCCGGTATCTTAATGCTTTCGTGGCGCGATGGTGGGGGTAACCGTGGGGAGCTTCCGTTTATCTGCGAGGTCAGAGAAGGCTGGCTGCGTTCAGTGGTGCTGTTGAAAAACACGATGAAAATGGCGTGGCAACCGCAAGAGGAAGGACTTCGACAAATTTTAGCGCTCCTGAAGGAGTCTCAGAGCCCGGATACGGCTACTCAACGAGCCGTGCAAGAAGTATCCTTTTTTATTCGTTCATAAATCGTTTAGTGCACCGAAAAAATGCGTTTGAGAGATTTTTGTTCCCGGTGAGTACACCCGCGACGCGGTAATGAAGTGAAGCGGGTAGGTCAATCAAGGGGCGTGCATTTCATCCCGGTACAAGTTGTTTCTGCTAAATAGGTTCGGAAATTTGTTAAAAAAATATGATAAGGAACCTCGACAAATTTCAAAACTATCGAAATGTTCTGTTAGGTGAAGGATGAGAAAATTGTTCGGCGCGCTTTTGCGCAGCCTGTCACGGATCCCCTTTTTTGTCGTTTACGGTTCGATTAAAAAGCTGTTAAGACATCTTATTGTAACAAATATGATTTCCTATAATCATATGAACCATTTCATAGTTGTTCATGTTATTTTCTACGAAATCGTTCTACGAGTAATATTAGAATTGGTAAGAGTAGGTCGACAGAAGTTCGCAGGTTTTTCTCGAATAACACGTGAGTTATACTCAAGCGCCAAGAAATATGTTAACGATACATGATCTCTGTCGCGGGGCGCGTCGGAAATGCCGTTACTGTCGGTGACGAGTTTGTTTTCTTGACGCTATAATCGATAAATCTTGTATATAGTTTCGCCCATAATATTAATTAAACAGGCCAGAAATGACATACACAAACGAATGTTGATAGAATGTATTTGCTCCTAATTATTATTGGCAGAAAATATACAGTTATAGAAACTTGAATTTTTTTTACTCTTTCCATACTATATTTGTTGTAATACACATACGTATACGCACACGTGTATATACATATATAAATATATATTTATATATTTGTATGTAGTGAGTTTGAATAAGAATCTTATGATTGAAGAAATGTTAAGTTTGTAATAAATTTGCCCTTATATGTGATGAAAAATAATGTTTTTCATATTGCTCATTGTAATTTGTTTCTTTATGTTAATGCACTCAATGTAAATAGAATATTTTTTGCATTTATTATATAATAACAAATACTATAATAAGTAATTACTAATTATATAAATATCTTTTTTTTTTGTGTAAAAATTTATTATATTTTTAATGTATATATTTTTCTACAAATTTTTCTTAACAATGTTTCTTAGAAATTGGAAGAATTAAACAAATTTCCAGACTTTAACAATTATCTTATTTTTGTTTTAACGAAACTCACATCACAGGGTATGTAGTCTAAGCTTAAGTTTTTGTACAAAATTTATTAATTTTTCTGCATAAAGATAGATATCTAACTTAATTATATATATATTTTTTTTAAGATGAACCTACGAGGTCTTTAAGTGGACTGATTTTGAAAAATAACATTAAAGCTCATTTTTATAAGTTTGTACCAGAAGTCACAAATTTCATCAAACAAGAATGTTTATCAGCAGTTGGAGATCCATCACCTCTGATTCGTGCAACTATTGGTATTTTAATAACTACCATTGCATCCAAAGGTATACTTGTTTATAAACAATAATAGCTATCAAATAATTTCATATTAATAAATTTTAATTTTAATAGGTGAATTAACTATGTGGCCAGAACTATTACCTGCACTTTGCCAAATGTTAGATTCGCAAGACTACAGTGTTTGTGAAGGTGCATTTGGTGCTCTTCAAAAGATCTGTGAAGATTCTGCAGATATATTAGATTCTGATGCTCTCAATCGACCATTAAATGTTTTAATTCCAAAGTTCCTGCAGTTTTTTAGACATTCAAGCCCTAAAATCAGATCACATGCTATCGCTTGTGTTAATCAATTCATTGTTAATCGTACACAGGCTCTGATGATTCATATAGATAGCTTCTTGGAGAATCTCTTCCACTTAGCTAATGATGAAGATCCTGAAGTTAGAAAAAATGTTTGCAGGTATGGTTATATTATTTCTTCTTTGTCAGACAGTGTTATGTATAATATAACATTTATGATCTTTCTTTTATAGAGCTTTGGTTATGTTACTTGAAGTTCGAATGGATAGATTAATACCACACATGCATAACATAATAGAATATATGTTAATGAGGACTCAGGATCCTGATGAAGGTGTGGCTTTAGAAGCTTGTGAATTTTGGCTTTCACTAGCTGAGCAGCCTATTTGTAAAGAAGCACTTGCACCACATTTACCCCGTTTGGTACCTGTATTGGTAGGTAGTCATATAAACTGTAAGGCTAACATAGTAGTAAATAAATATATTCATAACACACTTCTACAGGTAAGAAGTATGAAATACTCAGATATTGATGTAATACTTCTAAAAGGAGATGTAGAAGAAGATGAAATGATCCCAGATAGAGAAGAAGATATCAGACCAAGATTTCTCAAATCAAAATCACATCATTCACATCATGGTAGTATGAACAAACACGCAAATGAAAATGGAGGTTGTGATGAAGAAAACACGGATGCTGAAGATGGATGTGATGATGATTCAGCGCTTAGTGATTGGAGTTTAAGAAAATGTTCTGCTGCTGCTTTAGATATGTTAGCAAACGTATTTAGAGAAGAATTATTACCAGTTTTAGTGCCAATTTTAAAAGAAACACTTTTCCATCAAGATTGGGAAATCAAAGAGTCTGGAATACTAGCACTGGGAGCTATAGCAGAAGGTGTTTTTTCTAATAGCTTCAATACGTGAAATTATTTTAAATGCGTTTATATCGTAATTTAATGCATAATATACTGTTGCAGGTTGTATGAGTGGAATGATTCCACACTTATCAGAATTAATTCCATATTTAATTAGTTGCTTAAGTGACAAGAAAGCATTAGTTCGCGCCATTACTTGCTGGACATTAAGTCGTTATGCACATTGGGTTTGTGCGCAACCACACGATACACATTTAAAACCTTTAATGACTGAATTACTCAAACGAGTACTTGATGGCAATAAACGCGTTCAGGAAGCCGCATGTTCTGCTTTTGCAACGTTAGAAGAGGAAGCATGTACAGAATTAGTCCCTTACCTTGGATTTATTCTCGAGACGCTTGTTTTTGCTTTTGGTAAATATATACTACTACAAATGTATCGAGTTGAATGTCTACTTTTTTTTACTAATCACTTTTATTTATGTAGGTAAATATCAACATAAAAATCTTTTAATATTATATGATGCAATTGGTACACTTGCTGATTCAGTGGGGCATCATCTTAACAAACCAGATTACATTAACCTTCTTATGCCACCACTTATTAATAAGTGGAATGTACTGAAAGATGAAGATAAAGATCTTTTTCCATTGCTAGAATGTCTTTCCTCTGTTGCAACTGCATTACGATCTGGTTTTCTTCCTTATTGTGAACCTGTGTATAGGTAGGTTTGATTAATCTTGATCTTTTTTAAACATGATAATATATCTAAATTTATGTGTATTTTATATTTTAAATAGGCGGTGTGTGTCCCTCGTAGAACAGACCCTAAATCAACATATAGCAAATACACAAAGCCCAGAACAATTTGAGGCTCCTGACAAAGATTTTATGATCGTTGCATTAGATCTTCTTAGCGGTTTGGCAGAAGGATTGGATGATCATATGGAACGCTTAGTAATGAATAGCAATGTAATGCACTTATTGTATCAGTGTATGCAAGATGTTATGCCTGAAGTTAGACAGAGCAGTTTTGCCTTGTTAGGGGACCTTACAAAGGCCTGCTTCCAACATGTTCTGCAATGTATACGTAAGTATTTTAATTATCTGATTATATAGAAAATCTTACTGATATCTATCGCGTTTGTATGAATTCAGTATATTCATTTATCGATTTGATTTATAGCGGAATTTATGCCTATACTTGGACAAAATTTAAATCCTGAATTTATATCTGTATGTAATAATGCAACTTGGGCTATTGGTGAAATAGCTATAAAACTCGGTAAATTATTTTAAAGATGTAATCTATTCAAACATATTGCAAGTAAAATTCTTTAATAGTGTTTGTGTGTGTATGTATATATATATGTATATATATCTTTTTTGTAGGGTCTGATACAAGTGCATATATTCCATTAATTTTGACTCAGCTTATCGACATAATTAATAGACCAAATACGCCAAAAACACTATCAGAAAATACAGGTGAGTACCTGTGTATAATATTTTCAAACATATAGTTTTTTCTACACAGCATAGTATATGGAGCATACTTTTAAATGGTAGAGGGTAATGCATAGTTAAGTTTCATTTCTTTTCGGTACTATAATAATACAATTACATTACATTCACCTATATTTAGTAGAGGTAATACCTTTTCTTAGAAGTATGCTCT